ACTTGACACTATGACAATATCACCATCACTATCCGAGGCATCTTTGCTACTCCATCTTGGGGTCTATCATTCAGAATCATGAAGAAACTAGCGTGGTTGCAGGAGCTCGTAATTTACCATAAGCACATATATGTGAAGAGGCAGAAGCTTGTCTTGTAGGTGTAAAAGCAACAAAGACGCGGGGGATCTTGTGGAAACTGATTCTTTGTCACTGGTCATGGCCCACAAATCATCACATTACGATCTTGCTCCAAGTGGTGTCCTATTTAAAGAGTTGCGCCTAATTTCATGCCTTTTGTTTTGGTTCAAGGTCAAATTTCTTTCTCACATCTCGTGTATGTAATTTGTTGTGCTCATGAGTTGGTAGATTATTGGGCTACTCCCTCTCGAGTTTTGTAAATGATCTGGTGATCCGATCGTGACACCAATCATTAGGTCTATCAATAAAAGGCGAGATAAGTTTTTTTTTTTAAAAACTACTACATCTTAAATTATAAGATATTTTAGCTTTTGTAGACACAATTACTTTGTTATGTATCTAGACATATGTATATCTAATTGCATAACAAAATCATGTATCTATAAAAGCTAAAACTTTTTTTTGAGTGGAGAGAATAATAACAAGGCTCTGATAGCTATGGCTAAATCCTTGCATGTCTAACATCCCCTCGTGCATGGAGATGCAGACGCAGTACACCAGCCACGCATGCATGCAGGGGCGCGTTCCTGCGACCCCGCGAAGCCGATGGCTAGGAACGACACATCTGACTATCTGAGATCCGCGCACGCCTCAGTTCTCGGCTGCACAAGCGAAGCCATGGACCAAAATAGCTCTGGTGATCGGAATGGACACAGATTAGCTAGCGGCTAGCGCATGAATGAATGAAGAAAGAGAAGCTAGAAGAAGAACAATCCGCGACGAAGTAGAATCACCCGCCGGCAAATAAAAGCAGCGCGCCGTAGAGAGAGATCGAGGCGGCCATGCAGGCGGTGCGGACGCGGTCGGAGCAGCGTGCGGCGGAGGCGGCGGTGGTGGTAGAGGCGACCCCGCACGGGAGCGCGCGGTCGTGGAGCCCCGAGGCGGAGATCGGCATGCGCGTGGAGGACATCTGGGACAGCCTGGACGTGCAGCAGCGGCAGCTGAGCCACGGCGACAAGCTCAACAGCTGCTTCGACAGCATCCCCGTGGCGTCGTTCCCGCACACCTTCGACGGCGCGCAGCTGGTGGAGATCCCCTCCGACGCCACGCTCGCCGAGGCCGTCGACATCCTGTCCCGCAACAGGATCATCAGCGCGCCCGTCAGGAACGTGGACGCGCCCGAGGACGCCAGCTGGATCGACCGCTACATCGGCATCGTCGAGTTCGCCGGCATCGCCGTCTGGCTGCTCCACCAGTCTGAAGCCGCGGCGAAGGCCGACGACGTAGGCGCCGACGAGCTGGCAGCGAAGCTAGGCACCGTCACGCTCGAGGGTGCCGCCGCCGCCGCCGCGGTCGCGTCCAAAGTGACGGCGGACGCGGAGTCTGAAGGAGCCATCGCGGAAGTGTTCGGAGCCCTGCCGTCTTCGGACCTGTTCAACAAGACAAAGGTGAAGGACATCTCCGGGTCGTTCCGGTGGGCGCCATTCCTGGCGCTGCAGAGCTCCGACACCTTCCTTACCATGCTGCTGCTGCTGTCCAAGTACCGGATGAAGAGCCTGCCCGTGGTGGACATCGGCGAGGGCACCATCAGCAACATCATCACGCAGGCCGCCGTCTTGCACATGCTCTCCGAGTGCGTCGGACTCCACTGGTTCGAGGAGTGGGGCACCAAGACGCTCTCCGAGATCGGCCTGCCCATCATGAGGCTCAGCAAGATAGTCAAGGTACATTACGCATTTCTGAAATTCTGATTCAGAATCCCGCCCCCATTTTTCTTTCGGTCACCTTCCCGGTGACGGTGATGATCCTGATCCTGGAAGAGGTGAAATTATATTGGCAGGTTCGCGAGGACGAGCCGGCTCTCAAGGCCTTCCGGCTGATGAGGAGAAAAGGGGTCGGAGGCATACCGGTGGTGGATGATGGCGGCAGGGCCGTAGGCAGCATAATGATCAAGGATGTCAAGCATCTCCTTACGGCATCGGAGACAAACAGAGACTACAGGTCAGGTCTTTACATGGCAACATCATCAATCTCAGAAACATTGTTACTAATGAGGACATAAAATTTGGTAGCTTAACCACACATGAACATGAACTTAGTGTGTGTGCAAGAAAGGGAGATGCATATTGAACCACAAAACAGTTCAAAACAACTGTAAAATTAAACAACAGAAGACAAGTATGTTTAACAATTACCACTTGCAGGACCCTAACAGCAAAAAAATTCATCGCGAACGCGAGGCAGAGCTCCGGCGAAAGGCAAATGAGCATCATAACGTGCAGTAGAGGGGACAGTATCAAGGACATAATACTGAAGCTGGATGCAGAGAAGAGGCAGAGGATCTATGTGATCAACGAGGAAGGGAACCTGGACGGCTTGATCACCCTCAGAGATATAATCGCCAAGTTGGTGTATGAACCGCCTGGCTACTTTGGGGACTTCTTCAATGGTGTTATCCCTCTACCATCGAACAGCAGGGTCTAAAAAAGTTTAGTCAGATCAGGAAATCCTTTTTTACCATGCTCTCTGTTTACTCCCCTTCTCTGTAGAATTTGGTACACTTACTTTCCATTTCTAGTGTCCACAAAGTTTTAGTGAGCTTCCTTCCTCTATAATTGTCACTTATGTAGATGAATAATCATAGCTTGTCATAATGCTTCCATGTGTGGAACACTAATGCTCTGTTCATGTTTATGTTAAACAAGTTCGATGCCTGGAATTTAGCCACGCCAGCTTCACTTATCTCCAGAGTATCATTTATCCTGTTCCTGGGACTAGGTACTAGCTTACTGCTTATCTCCACTTTACCTGGCATTTTTGTTTATTGCTGAACCCAAAGGGCTTTCAAGTTTCATTCCATGTAATATGACAACTTTTATGTTAAAGATACCATTTCTCTTTCTCCCCTTTCCTTTTGTTTTTATTTATCAGTTGCTAGAATTTTCTCATTAATTATCATCCGTTGTTTAAATTTAGGAAGCACATCTTTTCTTTATCCCCCCAGATTTTTCGATATCAATTTATTGTCAACCAAAAAAAGGTTTCCTAGATTTTAAGATTTTGTGGTTTATCATCTGTTGGAACTTTCTCACTGATTACTCTCAACAGCTTGAATCTATGAAGCACATTTTATCCTTCTGTTCAGAATTTTTCATATCAATTTACTGCATAAACCAAAAAGGTTTTCTCGTTTTATGTCTACTTATGTTTGAGATAATCTACCTTTCCCTAACTACACATCTCTAACATGTATATGTGCATGAGGCTATAAGAAACTATTATTAGACAGGTTACTATTCTACTCTATCAGCTATTTCCTCAAACATCACAAGTTTTCTGTGTATGGTCAGTGCCTCAGTGGTATACAAGAGCAGGCAAAAAAAACTATCATACCAAACTACACAAATAAGGGAAAGGACCCAATTTCAACAATCAGATGACACATGTACAAAAACAAATGGAACCAAATTGGATAAACAGAGAACATCTTTTACACACTGACATGTTTAAGAACATTGTAAACCATCATGAAAATGGTACTTTTACGATCAGAGATTGACAAGACAACGGGACCAATAGCATGTCGCATCAACTATATGTTTTGTTTACCATTAACGAATGAATATAACAGAAGGCTGCAACACACTATAAGAAAGGTTGCAACAAGGTAAATGTGAACATAACTGCTGGTAGGATTGTACATAAAAATGCCAGGCACCAACATTCTTTTGAAGTCAAACAAGAGTCACGAGATGTTACAATCGACAAAAGAAGGGTAAAATGTAAGAATTGCAATTTCACAGCTCATGGCTGATGCAGTTGTCACAATTCCATGTGCAAGCCTCAATGATGTCACCACTCACCATGACAGGATCAAGGATGACAAGCTAAAGTATTCAATTCAGGTTGCTTTGCACTTCACACAGTTTCTGTCAGTTCAGGACAAGCTTATATTTCCATCTTCAGACCTTCAAAAGATGTTTGAAGGTCAAGTTCCCTGTACAGTAGTGCCAAGAAATTTGGAAGGGGACTTGGAACTAGCATAGCATCATCAAAATTTGCATGGGTCTTGAGGTTGCATAGTTGATATGAACATCCCTGGACATCGAAAGGGTCATAATAGTGAGTTTCTTGCTCAGACTAACGGAACGATGAGTGATATAATTTGAAGGAAAAAAATCACCCCTTCATAAACTTTGCAATTGTCTTAAATCATGATTGTAACTAATCTATGAAGGACAATATACCATGCCAATATTCTCTTCAAAAACAAATGAAAGACAACTGAAATTAACAGTGTTTGAAAGGAATTGTGCAGGGCTCTGGCTAAACTGTTGTTCTCAGTTAACATGATATTCGCATTTTTCAATAGATTAAAATATGAAAGGATAGAGGATAAACTGTGGTTCTCAATTAACATGATGTTCGCAAGTGCTGGGTTCACAAGAAACACGTGCCCTTCTGAAAATAAGGCAGCTAGGACAAACAGCTAGAGGCAATTCGTATCATAGGACTAAATGTTCAGTTCTCTAGGAGATTTTTTTGGACTGTCGTAGCAAATTATTGTCAAACTGAGGTATCACAGGCTATCACTCAAGTACAAGAACTAGAAACTATTGAAGAATCTACAACAAATATTGCTTACTAAACTAGAAAACTACTTCAAATAGTAGCGGTTTGCTGCGATTTCATGATCTATGAGGTAATCTATAGATACAATTTCTGTAAAAACTAAATAGCTGAGGTTAATAATAAAATGAAGGGCAAGGCACCGTCATGCTCTTACAGATTCAACGAAGCAAGCAAAATGAAAAGGTCAGACTGCATAACCTTCCAATAATACTAGCACTCACCTTGACCATCAAGCATTTGGCTTTCTCCCTTCAAAAAAATCTGAGACCTGGTTCTCCAAATCATCAGGGTTGTACTTTATATACCTTGCAGAACCCCTCCCTCCCTCTAGTTGTCCCCGAAATCTTCCAACAAATGAACGGTATGCTGGAAGAACCTTCTCGGAGATGGAAATCTTCAGCTCTTCTCTTAACTGAGGATCCACAACCCTCCATGATGTCTGTGTCCTGCACAACTCCTCGAAGGCCAAGTTGAAGTTTTTGAATCTATCCTTCAGTGCAACCTTGAGTTGGCTTGATGAACCCATTGTGTGTGGAAGCCCATCGTCTCTCAGGCAAGCTAAAACCCTAGTCCATGACGACCGGAGATACCCTGTAGAGTATTGCCTTATCTGACCACGACGCTTGCGAATCCAGTTATCACCAAGCAATGTCTTGAGCTCTGAATCCTTCACCTTCTGCACAATATACAGCAGATTGTTCATCAAAAATATATTCTGCAGCGCCTCATCCTCATACAGCCTCGATTTCTCATCAATCTTGCACTGTAGGTGTGTGATCAACATGAGCACGCAGTGCCCCAATGGAGTCATGTTTGGATTATCAACCCCAGTCATCTCAGTATCCCAACATTCCAGAAGCTTATTTAGCGAGGCATTGTAATCCGCAAGAAGCCGCACATAGTTCATGACATAGCGGGTAAGGGGATGGATCTCCCCACCAGGCAGTGGTCTCCGAGAAGTCTCTCCCTGTATGGCATTAGCAAATTCTTCAATCGTGCCACGCACTGCATCCCCGAGCCGCGCGAGTATTCCCTCAGCCTCCTCCTTGATGAAATCCTTTGCCTCACCGGAGAACAAACCCTCAAGCTCTGGCAGCACCTCAGCTAGCACCTCATACATACCAAGGATGCGGAACAGCTTCTCTGTGGACCTCTTCCCAATCGCAATGGCGTCACCAAAGTTGAGCATCTGCAGGACACAGCCCTTGGCCGCCTCAGTGAAGCACTCCTCCTCGGCGTTAGGGTTGGCCGCAAGGATCTGGCTGCAGATGCGGCGCTCCTCAGCAAGGAGGCCCCGGACAACGACCTTGAGCGCCTGGATCCACTTCTTCATCTTGCCGTCAAGCACGCCCCACTCCACCCGCTGAACCTCCTCGAGGCTCATCTTGTCGACCCCGAGCACGGCGAGGCATTCCATGAGCGTGTCCCTGCGCACCTCCCCGTAGATCTGGCACAGCTCGGGCGCGTAGCCCGCGCGCAGCATGACCTCGGCGATATCCCTGAGCGCGCTGACGGTGTCCGGGGCGATGAGGTAGGGCGAGATCTCGTCGTCGGAGGCGGAGCTCCTGCCGCCGCCCTGCTGCTCGTCTGCCCCCTCTGCGGCGGCGGCGTGGTGCTGGGCGAAGGAGGGGCAGTCTAGGTCTACGGCGGAGGAGTTGAAGGAGGGCACCGTGAGCGAGAGCCGGCGGAGGAGCGAGGCCTGGAGGTCCTCGGCGGCGAGTGGCGGCGCCCCGAGGACGAGCAGGTGGCGGAACTCGTCCTGGAGCCGCGCCATGGCGGCCTGCAGCGCGGCGTCGGCGCGCGGGCCCGGCGCGCCCGCGAGGCAGGCGGCCGCGGCGAGGTATTCCTCGGCGTCCTCCCGCGAGTCGAACACCAGCGCGTCCCCGGCGGCGGGGGACTCCCAGCGCTCGATCACCTCGGCCGCCGCGTCCCACTCCGCCTCGGCCCGGGCCACGGCGTCGTCCTCGTCGGGGTCGGGGTCGTCCCCGTCCCCCTCCCCCTGCGAGGTCCCCTCGTCCGTCTCCAGGATGGAATCGACGGTGGCGGAAGGGGGAGGGGGGAAGAGGTCGGACATGAGCGAGAGGCGGTTGTCGAAGCCGGAGAGGATGCGGATCATGTCGTCGGCGGCGTTCTTGGAGCTGGCGAGCGACTTGACGATGTGCTGCGCCGCCGCAATCACCTTCTCCTGCCCGTCCGGCGGCGGCGCCGCCGCCATCCTCGACTGCCGCTGGATTTCGGCGGCTGCTGCGAGCTTCTTCGAACGGGGAAGGGAAAAGGGCCGGGGGAGGGGCAGGAGAGGAGAGGAGAGGAGAGGAATGGATGGGGAAGCGAAAATGCAGTCGACTAATCTGCCCGCTGTGCTGAGCTGGCTGGGCGGTTTTGAATGGGTCCACGGCTGGTTTGCTAGCATAATGGGCTGTCTCATCAGATATCGCTCGCTTTTGATCGTACGGACGGGGTTCGTTTGAGGAGCGACTGCCTGCGGCTGCGGCCTGCCTGACTCCTGACTCCTGAGTGCCCTGATCTGATTCTCCGCAAACACAACAGAGCGGCTCCAGCTGTCTGAATTTGGGCTTGTTTAGATGCAAAAAAATTTGCAAAATAAGTACTGTAGCGTTTTCGTTGTTATTTGATAAATAGTGTCCAATCATAGTCTAATTAGGATACAGAGTAGTATGCATGCCACCTCATATCACAGCGCGAGGATTCAGGATGCCCGTGAGTCACTTCAACAAAACTGCTAACATCTCCTGATATGTCAAATTGGTATGGATTCACAAGCGGCTCATGGAGCCATTTTTCGGCTCCTCACCCATGGAGCTCCGTAAAACTCGCTCTCATAGACGCAGTGTGTCAGGTGGAGCTAAAAAATGGAGCTTCTCCCGGCTCCCATCTGACACCAGCGGACCCCAGCGCGTGGAGGTCGAGTTTGCCCCCGACCTCAGGGAGACGCATGCGGGGAGGGCGGCCGCACGCGCAGTCGCCGGGGCGGCCGTCCGGACGTGGCTCGTCGGAGCTCCGAGCGCTTGAACGCGTGGCCGCCGGGTGCGGGGTCGCGCTGGGCCGTTGGGTGCCCGAGCACAAGGCCGCCGGGCAGCCGAGCGCCACGCACAGGGCCGCTGGGCGTGGGGTTGCCGGACCACCGGATCTCCGAGGATGGCCGGGTGCGAGGGCGAAGCGGTTGCGACTCTCGCGTCTGCGCGATGCGGGAGGCGAGCGGTTGGGGAAGATGAGGAGAGAGAAAGAATGAAGGGGAGGGTACGGAGGAGAAAAATAGGCACATGGAACAGATAACGTAAGAAAAGAAAAGGAAAGAAAAGAGAAGAAAAGAAAAGAAAAAGGAAAAAAATAAGGGTATTATAGACTTTTTACTCTTTTTGGCTACCCGGGGAAACTGTTACGCCAAACGGTCTAAAAAACAGCTTCAGCTCCCTAAGAGAATCTGCTCCTTCAGAAGAGTTGGAACCAGAGTTATTTTTGGAGGAGCCGGAGCCCTAATAAACGGGCCCTGAGTCGTATCATATTTGTTCATTTTCGTATTTTCACATATTATGTTTTTACTCCTATTCCTAACTATCCTGGTACCGGTCCTCGGTGATCAAATGCAGAAACAAGAATGAGCAGTTTTATGCATGTTTCTGTCCGTTTTCATCCGTAATCTCAACTTATAACTAATAACATAAATAACATATGATATATTACAAAAAGTCACTTTTGTCATTCTATCTACTTCTATCCATATGTCCTACCAATTACAAATAGATGAATGGTATTATAAACAAAACCACCAATACATCCACCTCTTAGTGGATCCAAACATAACCAAACTAATAGGTAGTCAGATAATAGTTAGTTAGTCAATATTAACTATAGATTATTAGTTTCTAGTGCATTCAAATAGGGTATTGTCGATGTTTTACCACCGGCAACCCGCCACGGGAGTACCTGGGACGGTGATTTGTTCGGAGGGGTATCGGCGTTTACAGGAACTCGATGGTAAACGCAGGGAGACAACGATTTATACTGGTTCGGCACGCCGAAAAATCACGGCGCCCTACGTTCAGTGTGGGGTGGATAGTATATTGCGCCCTGCGCTATTTGTTGTGGTTGTGAGTTCTGTCGCTCATGTGTGTGTTAGCTAGGTCTGCCGATATAGGGACCCCTGCCCTCCTTTATATAGTCCAGGAGAGGCGGGAGTCCTAGTCAGTTATAAAGTAGAGATCCTAGTAGGATTACGTGTACTAGTCCTAGTAGGATTACATGAGGAGAATCCTATTTGGACTAAGTCTTCTTCTCTCTTCACCGTGGGGAACCTTATGGGTCCCGCATCGACAAGCCCCCGAGCATTTCATGATTGAGCTTCAAGGGCTGGGTTGTTGTAGACTTGTTCTGGGTTCTTTCTTGAAGCGAGATCTTGAGATGGTCTTCTTTGTCTTTTCTTCGGCTGATGTGCACTTTTGCACAAAAGTGCACTCAGTGAGTGTAGCCTCCGAGCCTCTTGCTTGTTGGGACAAGAAGCCAGAGGGTCCCTTTAGTCTTCTTGGTTGCTCCGAGTTCTTTTTCAGTGGGTGCAATTTTTCGTAAAAATTGCACTCACTGAGTGTAGCCCCCGAGCCTCTTGCTTTTGCTTGCAAAAGTTGGAGGGTCCAGATTCTTGTCTTAAAATTTTTTGGGGTTATGTATCCCGCAGCCCCCGAGCCTTCTCCGAGTACTTTTCTTTAGAATAGAAATCGGATGAAGGGTCTTGATGTGTTGTCGTTGTTGTAGTCTTGAGTACTTGTATTCTTGGTCTTTCATCCTTGAATTCGAGCCCCCATGAGTTGAAGCGAATCTTTGAGCCCCGAGCTTAGTGTTTGACTAAGCCGTGATGCTCTTCGAGTTGTTTTTATTCCTCCGTGTCGCTTTCTAGACTTCTCTCGGTTCTTGACGTACCTCTTCCAGGTTGTTTGCACTTCATCCAGGTTCTTTCTGAACTTGTATGTACCTCATCCGAGTTGTTTTCTGATCAATCCAAGTTCTTTTTTGTCTTGATTTCTATTCTCAACTTATCTGGGTTGTTTTTCTTCAATCCGGGTTCTCTCTGATCTTGTCTTGGTCCTTGCCGCACCTTGTAGGGGTTCTTTTTTGATCAATCCGGGTTCTTTCTGATCTTATCTTGGTCCTTGCCGCACCTTGTCGGGGTTCTTTTTTATCAATCCGGGTTCTTTCTGATCTTGTCTTGGTTCTTGCCGCATCTTGTCGGGGTTCTTTTTTGATCAATCCGGGTTCTTTCTAATCTTGTCTTGGTCCTTGCCGCTCCTTGTCGGGGTCCTTTTTTTTTATCAATCCGGGTTCTTTCTGAAATTGTCTTGTTACTTGCAGCACCTCTTTAGGGTTGTTTTCTGATTGTTCCGAGTTCTTTTTGAACTTGTATGTTCCTCATTCGGGTTGTTTTCTGATCAATCCGGGTTCTTTCTGAATTTGTCTTGGTACCTGCAGCACCTCTTCGGGGTTGTTTGCGCTTCGTCCAGGTTCTTTTGAACTTGTATGTACCTCATCCGGGTTGTTTTCTGATCAATCTGGGTTCTTTCTGGACTAGCTCTCAGGAGCGTGTTTTCCTGATCTCATGGTACCGATGTAGCTCCCCTGCATGTTAAATATAAAAATATGTTGTAAATGACATTCCGGATATGAAGTGGGGAGCATGTCCCATATTTGAATAATCAATTAGGGGCGGGCCCTGCATTATGAAATGCATATAAACTTTTTATGTCTTGCTCTTGCTAGGCCATGCAAATTCCTCGTAGTGTCCTCATTACGTTTAAGCACTTGAATCTCTCGGCGTATGGTTGAGAGGGTTCATGACGTGACCATGTGAGCTCGGCACTTTCGGTTCGTGGCCGTCCCATGTGAGTAGACAAGCTTCACGGATTAAGGCGTGTTCTACCCGAGGAATTCGGCGACCGCTAAGAGAAGACCTAAAGCGCTATGTTTGCTCGCATGATGATTTTTTGTATCTTGAGCACTATGTTTGCTCGCATGATGATTTTTTGTGTCTTCCCTTGCTAGGTGGGTTAATTTCCTAGGTAGTAACCTGTTACGTTTAAGCACTTGAATCTCGCGTTTGGTTCAGAGATCCATTGACGTGACCACCCGTATGGTTCAGAGGTTCTTTGACGTCACCATCCGTATGGTTTAGAGGTTCATTGACGTGACCATCCATTCGAGAAAACAAGCTTCACGAATTAAGGCTTATTATCCGAGGAAACTAACAGCCGTTAGGGGAAGATGATATATACACGAGGCATACTGAATAATATCCGGAATGTAAAAAATAAAAGCGCACTTAGCTTGGTTCATGGCGAGTTGTCGATCGCCGCATAGGCGTGATGTGCAAAATGAGTAGTTAGCGTAAGCATCCGAGTAGTCGGATGTGGTTCAAATTGTTTTGCTTCCTTTGGTTTGCCTGACTCCGTGGCTTCTTGCATGTCTTAGACATATATACGTATATGTATATATATATATATATACACACACACACACACACACACACACGTAGGCCTCTTTCCTTATTTGCTTGTTGCTCGCAATCGTACGGGTACACATGCACCGCATAGATCCATAGCTTGCATGTCTTGAGCTGCCTTCTAGTAGCTTCTAAGTTTAGTCGTTGACGTCATCTTGCATAGCCGTAATTAGCTGGTATTCTTCCTTGCTTGCATGTCGCGGTTTGTGTAGGAGCCGGACTCGGCATGTCCGAGTTGTATTAGAATCTGCATGGAGCCGAATTGTTGTGGAGGTGGTGTGGCGGTCCATCTTGTTCGGTTTGTCCGAGTTGTGGTCGAAGTCGGCACCAGCTTGAGTAGAGTTCAACTCGGAACCAGCGATGCTCGACGGAGAGCGTCGTGGGTTAGAGTCGGACTCTGCTCTCTGAGTGGGCTCAAGTCCACACGTGGTGCTTCCTTGCCGCTGTGCTTTGTCTAATGCCATTAGTCTTGCATGTAGATTCTTCTTGGATCAACGGAACGTGCGGTTGCATGGCATCCTCCGTTGTTGTGAACACGCTTAAGCTGAAGATGGCGAATTGTCGATGAGGTCTTTGTGACGAATCTTGATCTTGAGGTCCACCGAGCTCTCGAACGCAAAGCACCGAGAACCCCTACCTGGCGCGCCAGCTGTCGATGTTTTACCACCGGCAACCCGCCACGGGAGTACCCGGGACGGTGATTTGTTCGG